GCGTGGCAGAGTCTTAACTTTGATAAAGAATATCTCTTTGGTTTTGAGACTTTAGTCTTTGCAACTTCAGGGATCTTATCTATGCACAATCAGCTTGTAACACTCCAAAGAGAAAGGAAAACTTGAAATAGCATCATATGACCCCTTTAAACAAACAAATGCTCAAGACTAAATGCAAGTTCTTTACTGATGATCTTTTGTGTCCATCTGACGGTCAGACGGCAGAATGACGTCCATCATCAAGCTGACGGCTCTTTCCGGAGTCCAGGAGGAATCGGCTCTGTGTTACCTGTTACAGGTGGACGAGTTCCGCTTCCTGCTGGATTGTGGCTGGGATGAAAGTTTCTCCATGGACATCATAGATTCCCTGAAGCGGTACGATCTTTGGACGGTGAGGTGGTGTTATTGAGATCATTTCCTGTTTGTGATGTGTATTTCCTGTCCTGTCTCGGTCAGGTATGTGCATCAGGTGGACGCAGTGCTGCTCTCTCACCCCGATCATCTGCATCTGGGCGCTTTACCGTACGCTGTGGGCAAGCTGGGGCTCAACTGCACTATCTACGCCACCATCCCCGTCTACAAGATGGGCCAGATGTTCATGTACGATCTCTATCAGGTGAGATGGGTCGGTTTCAAAAGAAGCACTGATTATCATTAGCTCATACATTTGAAATACGGTTCTTCTTAACTGTGTCATATTAGTCATTTACAAGGAAAAGTCTTGACAGTTCATGGCAACATCTATATGATGAAAATCACATAAAACTCAAACACAAATGAACACATTTACATATAAATTAATAATCGACACAAACATATAATTAGAATTTTCCTATTCAAACAATTTTTCAAAATCATTTTAAGATTTAATTAATCACATTAATATTTTAGCAATAATGAAAAATAATTGTTTATTTTCAATAAATTATTTAAACATTTAAAAAAAATGTATTTTCAAATATAGGTGCATCTCAATAAATTAGAATGTCGTGGAAAATTTCATTTATTTCAGTAATTCAACTCAAATTGTGAAACTCGTGTATTAAATTAATTCAATGCACACAGACTGAAGTAGTTTAAGTCTTTGGTTCTTTTAATTGTGATGATTTTGGCTCACATTTAACAAAAACCCACCAATTCACTATCTTATCAAATTAGAATACTTCATAAGACCAATAAAAAAAACATTTTTAGTGAATTGTTGGCCTTCTGGAAAGTATGTTAATTTACTGTACATGTATTCAATACTTGGTAGGGGCTCCTTTTGCTTTAATTACTGCCTCAATTCGGCGTGGCATGGAGGTGATCAGTTTGTGGCACTGCTGAGGTGGTATGGAAGCCCAGGTTTCTTTGACAGTGGCCTTCAGCTCATCTGCATTTTTTGGTCTCTTGTTTCTCATTTTCCTCTTGACAATACCCCATAGATTCTCTGTGGGGTTCAGGTCTGGTGAGTTTGCTGGCCAGTCAAGCAGACTAACACCATGGTCATTTAACCAACTTTTGGTGCTTTTGGCAGTGTGGGCAGGTGCCAAACCCTGTTGTAAAATGAAATCTGCATCTTCAAAAAGCTGGTCAGCAGAAGGAAGCGTGAAGTGCTCCAAAATTTCTTGGTAAATGGGTGCAGTGACGTTGGTTTTCAAAAAACACAATGGACCAACACCAGCAGATGACATTGCACCCCAAATCATCACAGACTGTGGAAACTTAACACTGGACTTCAAGCAACTTGGGCTATGAGCTTCTCCACCCTTCCTCCAGACTCTAGGACCTTGGTTTCCAAATGAAATACAAAACTTGCTCTCATCTGAAAAGAGGACTTTAGACCACTGGGCAACAGTCCAGTTCTTCTTCTCCTTAGCCCAGGTAGACGCCTCTGACGTTGTCTGTGGTTCAGGAGTGGCTTAACAAGAGGAATACGACAACTGTAGCCACATTGACACGTCTGTGTGTGGTGGCTCTTGATGCCTTGACCCCAGCCTTAGTCCATTCCTTGTGAAGTTCACTCAAATTCTTGAATCGATGTTGCTTGACAATCCTCATAAGGCTGCGGTTCTCTCGGTTTATGCATCTTACTATAGTAAAAACTGAAATCAGCTTAAAGGCAGATCAGTAAATATTATATATTATTTGAATTATTTTCACATTACAGTAATGATAAAGCATTTTTCAGGATGGGAATTTAGGGGCTAAAATGTACTTAATTATCATGAAAATAAAATCAGATTTATTAGATTTAAATTTGACGTATTGGAGAAAATCACTTTTTTTAGTGGTAGTATGCAGGAACTGCACTTTATTAAAATGAGTTCACTTTGACAGAGATTTATGATGCATCATAGACTTGAATTGTTAGTTGAACTTAAAATCCCCATGTAAAAAATGTTTTGTAGTGTTCGATACTCCTCACTTTGAGGCAGTGCTGAAATATTAATGGTTCCATCTTATTTGATCTCATAGTCTCGACACAACACTGAAGATTTCACTCTGTTCACACTGGATGACGTCGATTCAGCCTTTGACAAGATCCAGCAGCTGAAATACTCTCAGATCGTCAACCTGAAAGGTGAGAAAACATCTTCATTCACATGTGCAAAAAGAGAAAACCCAATCAGATATTATGAAGCTTTAATAATCCAAATAATGATAATGTGTTCTTTTGGACATCTTGAAAGTTACTCATAATTTATTAACGAACAGGAAAAGGTCACGGTCTGTCCATCACCCCACTTCCTGCGGGTCACATGATCGGTGGCACTATCTGGAAAATAGTGAAGGACGGAGAGGAAGAGATCATCTATGGTGTGGATTTCAACCACAAGAGGGAGATGTAAGTATGAAAGAAATCACCTGGAGATAAAATTAATATGTATCAGAAAGTTGTATTTATTGGGACCAAATATTTGCACCCTGGAATTGATATTCAGGGGCATTTTCTGCCCTTTATAAGGTCATTTTTCTCCTAACCCAATAAAAACATGTGTTTTGTCAAATAATT